AATCTAATTAAAAATTGGCAAAGGACCTGAATAAACATTTTCCCAAAGAAGAAACACAAATGGCTAATAGGTACATGAAAATATGCTCAATATCACTCATCATTAGGGAAATATAAACAAAACCACAATAAATAACACTTCACACCAGTTAGGATGACTATTATCAAAAAGTCAAAAGATAATAAATGTTAGCAAAGTTGTGGAAAAAAGGGAACCCTTGTATGCTGGTAGGAATGTAAATTTGTACATCCTCCACAGAAAACAGTATGGAGGCGCCTCAAAAAATTAAAAATAATACTATCATATGATCTAGCAATCCCTCTTCTGAGTATTTATCCAAAAGAAATAAAATCACTATCTTGAAGAGAACTCCACAGCCCTTGTTTACTGCAGCATTATTCACAGTAGCCAAAACATGGGAACAACTTGAGTGTTTACTGATGGATGAATAAAGAAAATGTGGCATGTATATACTGTAGAGTATTATTCAGCTTTAAAAGAGAAACAAATTCTGTGGGACATTATACTATGTGAAATAAGCCTAACATAGAAGGACATATATTACATGATCTCAATCATATGTGGAATCTAAAAAAGTCAGACTCAGAAGCAGAGAAGAATGGGCTGAGGGGTGAGAGAAATAAGAAGATTTGGTCAAAGGGCATAAACTTTCACTTACAAGATGAGTAAGTTCTGGAGACCTAATCTAATGTGCAGCACGGTGACTATAGCTGATCATACTGCATTGTACACTTGAAACTTGATAAGAGGACAGGGAGATCTGCAGTGTTCCTAACACACAGAAATGGGTACTATGTGTGAGGTAATGAATATGTTACTAGCTTGACTGGGGCAATTATTTCATAATGTATATGTATATCTTAACATCACACCAAATATCTTAAATACAAACAATTTTTATTTGTCAATCATACCTCCTTAAAAATAGGGAAAATTTTAAATAAAACATAATCATTGTTGATATTAGACCAGCCACTAGATCTTGTTATTTAATATACTAATAAAGAAGTACAGACGACTTCCACCAAGATGGAGGCATAGGTAGAGATACCGTGCTTTCTCACACAACCAAGTTTAGAGACAACGAAATAGTAGCAACAGAAAACATAGCCAGAACACAGAAAATTGAACTTTTCGGAAGTCTGATAACAACAAATTCTTCAGCCTGACCGGTAAGAGGGGCGAAATCAGCAGCTGGCGGAGCAGGGTTGCACAGGAAAACTGGGTCAGACAGACTCAGGCACGCGGAATCCAGGCGCAGGGTTGGACCTGGTGGGCAACTCAGTGAGCGACCTCGTGGGAAACAGCGAGGGAGCAGGGCTGTGGGTTGACTGTGGGTGCGCATTTGTGCATGGATAGACAGCGAGGGAGTGGGCGATTAGACGGGACCCAGTAGGCCCCCTGCAGCAGCAGAGGGTGCTGCCATTTCCCTGCTCTGACCCCGCCTCCACATATGGCGTCATAACCCAGCCACTCTGAGTGGCCCAGCCCTGGTGAACCACCTACGGCTCTGCTCTTCACCCAGCAGTGAGAAACAGCAGAGGGGGCCGCCATTTCCCCGCTCTGACCATGCCCCCACATACAGCGTCACAACCCAGCGACTTGGGAGTCCAAGGCTCCACTCCTCACACTTAACAGGCGCTTAACAGGCGCAAACAGACCAAAAATGGCCCAAGAAGATCTCAAAGCCCCAGAGCCTATAAATCTAAGCAATGAAGAAATAGCAAAACTCTCAGACGCACAGTTTAAAACACTGGTGATCAGGATCCTCACAGAACTGGTTGATTATAGCCACAAATTAGACAAACATATGAAGGCAAAACTAATTGAAATGAATGGAATTGCACAGGAAACCAATAGCGATGAAAAGGAAACTGGGACTCAAATCAAAGGAGTGGACCAGAAAGAGGGAAAAAATGGCCAAACAGAAAAGAGATGAAGAAGCAAGAATTCAAAAAAATGAGAAGAGTCTTAGGAACCTCAGGACATCTTTAAACGTTCCAACATCCGAATTATAGGGGTACCAGAAGGGGAAAAGGAACAGCCACCAGTGGAATACTTATTTGAACAAATAATAAAGGAGAATTTCCCCAATCTGGCAAAGGAAATAGACTTCCAGGAAATCCAGGAGGCTCAGAGAGTCCCAAAGAAGCTGGACCCAAGAAGGAACACACCAAGGCACATCATAATTATATTAGCCAAGATTCAAATGAAGGAGAGAATCCTAGAAGCAGCAAGAGCTAAGGGGACAGTCACCTACAAAGGAGTTCCCATCAGAATGTCAGCTGATTTCTCAAAAGAGACCTTACAGGCAAGAAGGGGCTGGAAAGAAGTATTCCAAGTCATGAAATCCAAAGACCTACATCCGAGATTGATCTATCCCGCAAAACTTTTATTTAGAATGGAAGGACAGATAAAGTGCTTCTCAGATAAGATCAAATTCAAGGAGTTCATCATCACCAAGCCCTTATTACATGAAATGTTAAAGGGACTTACCTAAGAAAAAGAAGTTAAAAAAACATGAACAGTGAAAGGACAACAAACTCACAGTTATTAACAACCACACCTAAAACAAAAGCAAACTAAAAGGACAGCTAGATCAGGAGTGGAAACATAGAAAGGAAGATCTCAAGGAGGGTTAGCAACGGGGAGTGGGAGGAGGAGAAGGGGGGAGAAGGTACAGAAAATAAGTAGCATAGACAGTAGATAGAAAATAGATGGGGAGGCAAGAATAGTATGGGAAATATAGAATCTAAAGGACTTGAGACACATGGTCATAAACTAAAGGGGAGGTAATAGTGGGGATGGGGGGAGGGGAATGAAGGGGGTAATAGAACAACTGTAATGGCATAATCAATAAAAAAATAATAAAGAAGTACACACATTACTACAGCATATCCTTTTTAAAAAACATTTTAGAAGCTATGTTTCAATATAATTGGTTTCCTTTTTAACCCTGTTATTTTAATTTATGCACGTAAGAGCATTATTCTGAGCTTCACCAGCCGATGAGTACCCAGGGGTCCCTGACACAGAAGCATTCAGAACTGTCGCCTGGAAGTAGTGGAGCAGCAGGGATGGCTTTTAACACCCTGCACAGATGTCTGCCTCTTCCCACTCCATAGCCATCTCCTGAGACATGCTCAACACAAGCAAAGCAAAGTGGATGGGTGGGATGGGGGGTTCCAGGTCTAATATGACAGGGAGCAGGGGCACCAAGAGACTGTGGCAGGCTCTGCCATGGAGCAGCTCTTGTCCTTGGACGAGCCCTGCGTTTCTCTGGGCATCCCAGCTTTGTGAATGAAATCACAATCTCTGCTGGGAGATGACAGGCAATGCAATCCTGAAGGGCTTCAAAAGCTGTGACAGACACTTTTCGGCAGCAGCAGCTCCTATTTATGAGATGTTCCGTATGTGCTGGATGGTGCTTTTCTACAAGTGATATCCAGTCCTCATAAGAACTCCATGAAATAGGTACCATTATTATCTCCAAGTTAAGGAGGGGGAAACTGAGTCTCAGAGAGGCCGAGCAACTTTCTCCAGGTGGCACAGGTGTAAGTAGGGAAGGGGCCCAGATGCTGGTCTGTCTGCCTCTGCAGTGTGAGCTTCACCAATAGGCTTACTGCCCAGACAGAGAACAGGAACCTGTCTAGGGACACCCCAGTCAGTGAGTGGCAGAGCTAGGGCCACCCTAGCTAAGCAGAGGGGTCAGAGTGAAAGGGGACACCCTGACCATCCATTCTGAGTGCTGGGGATGTGCACTGCCATGTGCAGAGGCAGGTAACTCCCTTCGCCTCTCACACTTCACACTGACAGTTTCGAATTATCACCCTGTGTCTCTCATAGCATATCAGGGACCAGCTGAGCTAAGGCTTTTGGGGGTTATTTTTGTGGGCACCCACAGATGGATGGGCCATGCTCATACAGACAAGCAAGTACCATCTGGGATCCCCACCCTGCTCACACCAGACTCAACTGTGGGAAATGAAGGGGACAGTATCTCCCTGAAAAAATGGGAGCATTTTATGCCTGGTTTGGCGGTATTTTCTCAAGTGGTAATGAGCTACCCTTGTAGGTGCAGGGTGGCCTCCTGGCTTTCCTCGGTGCACAGGCTAGGAGCTGTGGTCCACGGGTGTGGAGTGGGGGGTAGGCTCCCACTTAAGGTTGCCTGGGCCAAGAGCCAAGCTCCAGGGCCAGACTGTTTGGGCTCTAATTCTGGCTGCCTCCTGCTAGCTCTATGACCTTGGGCTTGTCAGTGCCTCAGTTTCCCCAGCTATAAAAAGGAGATAATTAGAGTACTTTCCTTATGGAGAAACTGTAGAAATAAGTAAATCAGTACTTGTAAAGCACTTAGAATAGTGCTTGGCCAGCTCACAATAAGCACTCAGTAGAGGTTGGACAATAATAATGACACAAACACTGGCTGCCAGCACCGAACCAGCAGCAGCAACAGGCAAAGGAAGGATGCTAAAGACCCTGGCAGCACCTCTTCAGCCATGGGGAAGAGGGCCACATCATGACTGGGGCTTTGCAGGCAGCCTAGGCTCCAGGCCAGCTTAGGGGATCTGGGCCAAGGTGAAGGTAAAGGCTGACTCCCCGGGGACTCCAGCGTTCCCTGTGGTCAGTCACGGCTGGAACAGATACACGGGGACCCTTCCTAGACACTGCCTCAGCCACCTGGAGACACCAGCCCTAGGGTGAATTTGCAGTTATGGGGAAGGAAAGTAACCACACAGAGGCCTCCAGACCATCTTCTCCACATCTGCTAGCAATTTGGAGGAGGCCAAGAAGCCTCCTGGACAGAAGTCTCTCTTGTCTTTTCTCAATTTCTTCTTCTCCCTGCCATCTCCTGAGCAACTATTATGAGAATACTCTAAGAGCATAAAGATGAGTAAGAGGTGGTCTCCACTTCAGATGGTCTACAATCTGGTTTCAATGGTGTGTGTGTATGTATAAGTGGTGAGATAAGATACACTCACCCAGGACTGAACACAAGGTGGGATGGAGCCCAGGAGGCAGACATCACTTCCAGAGGGGAAGCCAGGCTGGGATTTGTGGCACACATCCATCTCCTGGTCCTTGAAGAACCCCAAGGGTTTACAGATTCAAAGCAAAATCCAACCCACCAAAGGAAAAAAAGACAATGAGACCAAAATTTTGAGTGCTGTGTTTAACCCCAGACTTAGCAGTGCAAGTGGGAAGGAACTGTTTGGGGTTGGCTCTCAGGCTCAATGCTCAGAACCCAACGGGACTTCCTTCCTTTCGGGAAGCTGAGATGGAGGCAACTGCACAGAGGGAAGCAAGCTATGGGCAGGGGCTGGGGGGACCTGGAACTGGTCCCAGCTTTGCCCCAGAAGAGACAAGGAAGCATCACTGAGCCTCTCTGGGCGGCTTTTCTAACACCAGATCTTTGAGCCCCACTCATCCTGGCAGTTTAGGGATCTATTCAAAGTTCCAGACCTATGGTCCTAAGGGGCCCTGCTGCAGGATGAATGGAAATGAAACATAAAGCACCTCTAATGTGCTTCTTGTTATCAAAATTCAGTCCTTAGGACAGGAACTAGCCAGGTGGCAATCTCTCCTGATAAGGCCTCCATCCCAGGGGTAGCGAATTTTCCTCTCTAGTTCAGAAACTGGACAGCCACTGTTGGGCCAAAAGCTGAGGTCAAATCATCACCACACCCAACACTTACTAGCTGGGTGTCTTTGATCCCCAGTCTCCTCACCTTTAAAATGGGGACCCTAACTGTACCTTTTCACACGAGTTGTTGTGAGAATGAAAGGGGCTAATTCATGCAAGAGCTCAGAGCCATCTATTCTGACTGATGCAATGTGCCAAGTTTGCGCATGCGTACTCTACTCTGAGGTACTTCATGGGCAGCTGGTCACGTCTTAAAATCCTTTGCCCTCCCGGTGCCCAGAACAAGGCCTGCTGTGGGGGTAAAGGTCAGCAAGGGTAGGACAGGTGGGGCAAGTCCAGAAGGCCTCAGAGGACCAGCAGAGCCCCAGAAGGTGAGGGTGTGACTAATCCTGGCTTTGCCCTGGCTCCCAGCTTGTACTATTTCCAGATCTGGGGGACAGAGTAGAGAGGGGATCAAATTGCTGCTGGCTGGGCTAAAGCCTGCCACCTACATACAGACCTGCCCACTTCCCCCTCCCAAGTTTCCAGCAAAAACCACTGAGATGCAGGCGTGAAAGAGTGTAGGAGCTCGCACAAGGCACTGGTCCTAGCCCCTCCAGGTCTCTGCCCCGACTCAGGAATCCCCTCCCACTTCCCCACAGAGCCAAGACAAGGGCTGTTTGTAGCTGGGAGCCATGCCTGGCCTGCTGGCCTGCCTAGCAGCAGTCAGGCGGCTCACGGTGGACAGTCATGACACAGGTAGCCCTCACTGCAGCAGACAACCCTCAGGCTTAAGTGGCTGGGGCAGGAACAGCTGCAAAGGGGTCACCATGGGGTCGGGTGGGGGTGGATGTGGGTGGGGACAGAGGGTAGCTGGCTGTGCCACCCTGCAGCTAGATGGAGAGATGGCCTGCAGGCCCACAGGGGATCCTCTTGTACCCTCCCAAAAGCTGACATTCCTGGTCAGGGGCTGGCTGTGGGCACTTGGAGAGGAACATGGCACAGTGCTTGTCCTCATGGGGCCCACAGTTATCTTCAAACTTTAGTTTAAATTTTACCTAGTAGAAAAATTAATTTGGGGGAATACATTCCTATTATTGCTATATTTACTTGTAAATTAAGCATATTTAAAATGCTATAATTTGTGCACTATAATGTTATATTCAAAATAAACCATATAAAACCAAACATAAATGTTAAGGGATACAGCTAAAATTTATATACAAACAGAAGCTCTAAATTTCCTTAGCCCCTGGGGAGTTCACACCCATTCTGGAGACCTGTGCTCAAAGACAGTGCCAGGCACAGCGGGAAACTGAACAAGGTCTCCTGAGAAGGGCACTGGCTTCCAAAGGAGGAGCTGGGTGGCTTCTTGCAGGGGTTGGGCCTGGGCGGAGCCTTGGAGGACATGAGAATGAACCAGAAAAAAGCATTCTGGAAAAAGGGCCTGTGGGCTGAAACAGCAGTGTGCAGGGGCCGACCCTTAGCGTGAGTCCCTGGGGCAAACTGGTGCGTGCCCAGAGGCTTAAGGGCTCTGTACCAAGCAAGGGCTTATCAATCTGTAACTGAAAATGCAAATTGTTGCCAGAACTTTTTAAGCCTAAAAAGTGTAGAAATGGAGGGAGTAATGAGAGGCTGAAACTCTGAGCTTTGTCCTGATAATTTCCTCACCTGGAAACACCACAATCCTAGCTTCTCTCTAGCCTCAGTTTCCTCACCTGTAAAATAAGAATGTCAATAGCCGCCCAGCTGCCCTCAATGGGCACAGGGTACTTGAGGGCTGTGTATACCTGGGGCACCTGGAAGTCCTTGCCTGGTGGTTTCTGTTCTCGTGGGCTATCCCTATCCTCCCGTCAACTTTGGGGGGCTGAGATCATCGTGTTTTGTTTGAGGGCTGTACATTTAGCACCCAGCACTGTCCTGGCACATAATAGGACTTCTTCACACATTTCTGACTGAAGGCACCCATCTCTGGAACTTATAGCTTCAAAACTTACTCTGTCCCTTGGGGGTGGAAATCCTTTCAAAATGCAGTGTATTATTTCAAGAGAAGGCAGTCAGATCCTCATCCAGAACCCAGGGATCACCTCAGGCTGAAAAAGGGCATGTTCTTAACGTCTTACCTTCTCTTTTTATAGAACCTGTCCATAGGTTTATATCCTCCCTTATTATCAGGACACTTATTACAGCTGTCTGTCTGCCTGCTTGCCTCTTAAAGGCTCCCCTTTCCCCTTCCACCAAGGTCCTGCTAATTTTCTGTAAACAAGAAATACAAGCAACACACCATTGAGAAAGTGAAAAGACAACCCACAGAATGAAGAAAAATTTGGCAAACCATATACCCAATAAGGAACTTGTTTCTAAATATAAAAGAACTCTTATAAATAAATATTAAAATGACAACCCATACAAAATTGGGCAAAGGATTTGAATAGACATTTCTCCAAAGATGAAGTACAAATCATTAATAAGCACATGAAAAGATGGTCCACATCATTAGCTCCAGAAGAATGCAAATAAATTAAAACTGTGAGATACCACACTTCACGCCCATTAGGATGTTATCATCAAAAAGAGAAATAATATCCTGACCAGTGTGGCTCAGGTGATCACTGGTTCAATTCCTGGTCAGGGCACATGCCTGGGTTGTGGGTTAAGTCCCTGGTCAAGGTGATGGGGGACTCAAGAATTGGAAAATTTTAGTTTAGGTAATAGCAAATAAGCTTAGTAATCAATGCACATAAAAAGCTATTGTTCCAGGAACTGAAGGTATGACCCGCCCTGACTCCAGGAGACCACAAGCAGTTCCACCTTTGTGCCTCAGGAGGACTGAAAGCCATTGAGGTGGTATCTGAGCCACTGAGCTCCAGGGCACAGGGCACAGGGCACATCTACCACACAGGGCACAGATAAAGACCACCGTGGAGAGCACAGATGAAAGAAAGATGAATGCAGCTTTACCTGATTAACTTTTTCCCTAAATTCTAAACCCCTTACCTATACTTTTTTCTCTTTATAGAAAGGGTTTGTTAGGCCACATGACCCGCCATCTTCTCAGGTTGCCAGCCACCTGAATAAAGCTCCCAGAAGATCCAACCCCTGTCTCTGCGTATTGGGTCTGGTAGAGACAGACAGCAGGAAGGCCGGCTTTTCCTGTTTCCAGGTCACATACATGAGGCAACTGATCGATGTTTTTCTCACATCAATGTTTCTCTCCTTATCTTTCTCCCTTCCCTTCTTTCTAAAAATAAATAAATAAAATCTTTTAAAAAGAGAGAGAGATTTTAGCAAGGGTTGGTGAGGCTGTAGAAAAATGGAAACCCTCATCCACTGCTAGTGGGAATGTAAACAGTGCAGCCATTGTGGGAAGGAGTCTGGCAGTGCCTCATGGGTTAAACCAAGTCTCTGTGTGACTCAGCACTTCCACTCCTAGGTATATACCCAAGAGAAAGGAAAACATACACATGTGTACATCAACATTCCTAGTAGCATATTTATAATACACCAAGAGTAGAAACAACTCAACTTCCATCAGCTCATGAATGGATAACCAAAATGCAGTCCATTCATACAATGGAATATTATTCAGCAACACAAAGAAATGAGGCACTGATTGATAGATGTTACAGCATGGATGAACCCTGAAAACATGTTAAGTGAAAAAAAAAAGCCAGTCGCAGAAAGCCACATATTGCATGATTACATTTGTAGGAAATGTCTAGAACAGGCAAATCCAGAGACAGAAAGTAGATTATTCGTGGTTTCCAGGGAATGGGGGGTGGGGCTCAGGCACAATAAGGAGTGAGGGCTCACTGGTACAGGGTTTCTCTTTCAGTGATGACAACACTCTAAAATTTATTGTGGTGATGGTTGTACAACTTTAAAATACTAAAATTCACTGTGTTGTATAGTTTAAATGGGTGAATTCTATTGTATGTGAATTATAACTCAATAAAGTTGTTATATAAAAGAAAATTGAGATATTGCAGCCTGTTACTAATGTGTGTAAATGAAGAGTAAACATGCTTTGAATGACAGCCTAAGGACTCCTCATGAACTTAATGCATGAATTTTGGACATCAGTGTTGGCAGTTCTACAATCTTCCAAAGTTATTTCCTAGTTGTTTTCCACATATCTGAGGCTTCTAAGCCCTGTCACCTCCAGGAAAGGGAAGCATATATGACCAGGACCATTAACTGCTGCTGTGGAAAGATAGTGCCATAGGCTCAGCAGTCCACCCAGCAGGTTTTGTGCACACACAGCACTTCTCTGTACTTCCCCTCACATAGGCACAGAGCCATTCCAGGCCCACATGGCATGGCTGGCAGAGGAGGGTGCTGTGGTCTGAGGCCAACCCTACCAACTTCAGGGATGGGTCAGTGAACAAGGCAGATGTGTGCTGGTGAGAGGGTAAGGGAAGGCATCATTTGCTAATTACCCAAATGGCTGAGCATTAATAGAGCACACAGATGCAAATCTGGAAACTAGCACACAGCT